GGTGCGACGCTCTCTCCTTAGGCCGATGTCAGACTTTGCGAATCGAGCGATTCGCTAGCGTCTGCGGTCGCGTCGCGGCCAGTGAATCACTCAATTGGCTGGTACCGCAACGCGACCGCGGACGCTAGCGAATCGCTTGGCAAATCGCTCGATTCGCAAAGTCTGACATCGGCCTCAGGGAGACATTCAGAACAGGGCACCGCGTTGTGAACTGGAGAATTCGCTCTCTCACACGATCTTCGGAATAACTTGAGGAGCTGGAGTATTCAGGGGGGGGGTAATTCAGGACAGGGCCTTAGAAAATCGGTGGTAGGTGATGCTAGGAAGAACCCAGAAGTGGAAGAAACGTCAGGGAGAACGAAGGCTGTTTACGTCTTTTCCCAGAACCTCGCCACCTCTAAGGCTTAGTCCCAAGTTCTATGAGTGGCTTACTCATTTCATTGCCCCCCTTAACGACATGAGCCTCGAAAGGGCACCCTGATCACTCCAATTTCATAGCATGTGCACTGCCTACACACCACAACACATCTACGGAACCGGTGAATACTATACGAGGGGTGCTTTTACCGCTACCAGACGCTGCTGGGATCGGTAATCGCTATTGCTTCTCACCTTGAAACCCTATTCGTTGGGGATGGTGCAAAGCTAGGAGGGGGAAGAAGTGAGGGAAGATGGAATTCGCCCGATTCTCGATTTTTGCGCACACCCGATTTCGTCTCCTCCATAGTGCTTATGGTTAGTCCAGAAGTAGAAGCAACAACCTGGGGAAGAAGCTAGCGTAGAAATCAGGCTCCACTCGTAGGACTCAAAAAGGGTTTTGAAAGGACTGTGATAGCGTTTGCGTAGCATAGCGTCTGAGCTATAAGTACATGGGATACACGTAATAGTCGTCAAATAAAGGCGCACCCCTATATTAGTTTTGCACCGAATAATGTGGAGAACCTCGCTTTCCCCCAACAACTGCCTGCATTTGCTTTTGGCTGTGTAAGCTGCATCCCTCCAGTTGAGATTTATTTAGCTTGACGCTAATACGCAAAGACGTTGCGATCGCGTAAAGAGGAGCTCTTGCATAGAAAAGGAAGCGTTATCAGAAAGATACATCTGCCTTCAGAGACCAGCTTTAGATCAGTTGCTCTGAGCACTGTAGATCGACAAAGAGGTGCTAAGGATTGGTCAAGGGGTTCACAAGAGATCAAGTTGCCGGAGGAAATGATTCGGGCGAGGGCCCTGATAAAAGGGGTGCAGAGGCAAAGTCTGGGTTACCCGGCTCCAGTGTTCCAGTCATCTGTGGATACGCCAAAAGTAGCTTTTACTCCTTCGAAGTCCGACTATCTCCAAGATCAAACATATGGGCGAAATCATAATGACTGACGAGTGGTGCCTCAGCGGTGCTTGTTGGGAGCCGTAGAGCCCGTAGGAAAGAGATGAGAGGCTCAGTGAACTAGCCTTAGTGGCTCGTTAGAGGAAACCTTGATGGCTTCGCGATTGAAATTGGTGGCCCAGTAAGAGAAGCCTCAATG